TAGTTGGGGAACTTCTAAACTTACTGCTTTCAAAAGCAGTATCTGAGGGACTGTTTTTTGGACTACAATTTGGAAGAAATGAGACGGCTTTTAATTTATCTCATCTGCAATTTGCAGATGACTTAATTATTTTATGTGGAGCTTCGAAGAATCAGATTTTAAATGTTAAGAGGGTCCTAAGAGTGTTTGAACTGATTTCTGGCCTTCAATTGAATTTGAAGAAAAGCATATTATTTGGTGTTAATAAGGCTGCGGAGGAGGTTGAGGAGTGGGCCTCGTCTATTGGTTGTTCAATTGGGAATTTTCCCTCTGAATATCTAGGTTTGCCTCTCGGTGCATCTAGGAATTCTTCCTCTCTTTGGGATCCGGTGGTTTTACAATTTAACAAGAAACTTGCAGGTTGGAAATCGAACACTCTTTCATTGGCAGGCAGGTTAGTCTTGATTAAATCGGTTCTCTGTTCACTTCCAACCTACTATTTATCTCTGTTTAAAATTCCTTCCTCGGTTAATTCCAAACTCAATTCCATAATGTCTAAATTCCTATGGTGAGGTGGAACGGATAAAAACAAAATTCATTGGGTCAACTGGTCCAATGTGTGCAAATCTAAGGAGGAGGGAGGTTTGGGAGTGTTGAATATTATTAATATGAACAGAGCTCTACTGGGGAAATGGTCTTGTAGGTTTGCTAATGAAAGGAATGTTGTTTGGAGGATGTTGATATGTTCAAAAAACAATTTGGATCCCTACTATTTACTGTTCAATAGCAAGATACCAGCTCAATCCTCTTGGATTTGGAGTTCAGTGGTTAATTCTCATTTTAAAGAAGACTCATTTGGCTCAAAATTTCGAAGTATGTGCAGAATTCAAGTTGGTTGTGGTCAGTTTATCCGATTTTGGCAGGACAAATGGGCAATGGACTGCCCTCTTAAGGTCTCTTTCCCAAGGTTGTTTGCTTTCTCTTCAAATCAGAGTGGTAAATTGATTGATTTCGGCGAGTTTAGTTCTTTAGGCTGGATTTGGAATATTCAATTGAGGAGGAATTTGGCTGATTGGGAATTTGAACAGTGGACTAATCTGATGACAATCATTTCTAATTTTTGCTTGTCTAAAGATGCCAGCGATGCTCTGATCTGGAAAGGGAAAGGGGATGGTGTTTATTCTGTTAATTCATGTGTGAAGATTTGTTCCTCGGTTTCTCAGGCGAACTCTTTTTGGAAGAAAATTTTGTGGAAAGGATTGGTGCCACCAAGGATTGAGACTTTTATGTGGCAGGTGGTCCTTCAAAAACTACCAGTGAGGACTGAACTGGCTAAAAGAGGGGTTTCAGATATTGTAGATCTTTCATGTCCTTTATGTAATTTGGCGGATGAATCCTCTTCTCATTTATTTCTCTCTTGTTTTGTCGTGTGGTCTTTGTGGAATAAATTTTTGCAGTATTGGAGTATCAGTTCGGTCTTTCATGGAAATGCGCAAAACTTTCTTCTAGCTTGGGAAGATCAAAATTCCGGTTCTACTATTTGGAACTTTATTTCGACTATTGTTATGTGGACTGTTTGGAAAGCTAGAAATGACATCGTCTTCGATAGAGGGAAGTTGGATCAAACTAATTTATTTTTCTTAGCTAGAGTAAGGCTTGCATCTTGGTTCCTAGCTAAGTTTGCAGATTCGGTCATTTCTTTGGATTCTCTTATCAGTGACCCTTCCCTTGGGGATTCATGTTTCCCTTCAAACAAATCAATTGTCTCTACCATCCCGTGGTCCCTCCCTCCTAAGGGCTTTGTTAAATTGAATGTGGATGCAGCTACTAGTTCTGACTGGAAGAGCAGTGGAATTGCAGGTATTCTAAGAGATGAAGAAGGTCTACTTTTAGGTTCTTTTAAGATGGCTTTTGGTCCGGGTCCACCTATTCTGATGGAGTTAAAGGCTATTAAGAAGGGTTTAAATTTCTTTCACTCAGTGAGAGGAGGTATTAAGGGTCGGTTGATTATAGAATCAGATTGTAAAATGGTAGTGGATTGGATTAAGGATGGATCTTGTTGTCCTGTTTTCTATGCCTCCATTGTTAGGGAGGTAGCTGTTAAACTCAAAGAAGTCGTGGGAGTTATTAGATGGGTGGCTACGACAACCAATATTGAGGCTGATGGGTTGGCTAAGTCCGGTATTGGTTAATTTTTCTTTGTTGTTGGGATATTTTATTTTGGGTTTTTAGGTTGTTTGTAAGGGTTTTATCTTATTATTGTATCTTATGTATCTTTATTAATAAAGTTTAAGGCACTCTTTTCCTCATTCCTCCGATTTAGGAATTCAATATGAGTTCCTTAAATCATGAAGGGGTTTTTTAATGAGGCCTCAATTCCTATCAAAAAATAAAAATAAAGAACATAGTGGTAAGATGATATAATTTTCATTTTCTTATCTCATTTTCTTCTCTATCTTTTCACTTTTCTCCCCCCATTTCTCCATATTCTCAATTTTCTTTCCACCCTCCCAAGCAAAACATAAACGCTTCATAAAAAGTTCAAGCCAGACAGATTAAACTACAATCACATAAGGGAAACTAGAGGAGCTTCTCTCTAGGTTAGGCGATTTCAAAATTTTCTTTCTTTGAATCTCATACACTATTGCTTATGGCGAGTAAGGTGAAAAGATCTGTTGGGAATAATTGCGTTACGGTTATCATCTTTAATATTCCAGAGTTTCATCATCATCAAGGTCTTTGGCTAATTTTCGATAATTATGGTGAGGTGGTTGATTCTTTCATCCCCAACAAAAGAAGCAAGGGAGGAAGTAGGTTTGGATTTGTTCGCTTCACCAGATTGGAGGACGGGAGGAAGGCTATCAAATGTGCTGATAGATCTAGGATTCAAGGTAATGAAGTTAGAGTTTTCATGGCGAGATTTCAACCTCGTGATGCTTTCTGGAGAAAGAAGTTTTCTGGTCCAAAACCAGCCGAGGCCAAGAGTAAAGTGGAGAATGTTAGGCTTTCAGAGGCTCCCATTGTCGGTTGTGTTGACGAGGATAAGCTCTTAACTCTCAGAGATAGTTTGGTAGGTTGGTGCAGAAAGTTTATAAAAATGAAAGAGTTGGTTGTTGTTTTGCACAAGGAAGGCATATTAGGTCCGAAAATTATGAGGTTAAGCGGGTTAGCAATTTTAATCATTTTTGAAGATGAAGAGAGTAGGGATTATACTCTTAAGAATCAGATTGGGGCTTCGAATAAATGTTATGACAAAGTGGAAGTGTAGTCGGAAAATTTTCAATGCAGCAGCTGTCGTGCTTGGCTATCGTGCAAAGGGATACCACCGTTTGTGTGGAGTCATTCCACCTTTAGAAATATTGCAGACAAATGGGGAGAACTTATCTCTATTGAGGAAGGTACAGTAAATCCAGGTTCGTTTGATAGGGCTTTGTTTCAGATTATTACGAAATGCCAAGCTCGAGTGGAAGAAACCGTTGAGTTGAAAGTCGGGGAATTGATCTTTACAGTTTATGTTTCTGAGTTTGATCCTTGTTTCAGTTCAGATTCTGTCTGGGTAGACTCGTCTTTATTGGATAAGGCAGTTGCCTCCCCGTTATCCTTGGTGGGGGAGCTCGTCGGTGTCTCGCCAGTAAAGTCTCCCGAGTTGGAGGTATGTGCTGAGGAAGCAGGCAGACGCGTGGACTCATCGGAGGAGAAGAATTTCGAGAGGTGTTCTGAGGAAGAAGACAGTCAATTATGTTGTATGGGGAATAGATCTAGAGGCAGCAACCTGTCAGGTGAGGAAGAGGAAGAAAGGAACATAGGGGAGGAATTAATTATGGGTCTGAGGAATATTGTTCCTGGTCAGCGGATGGTTCAATCGAAAAACGAGGAAGTGGTGGAACACGAGATTGTGCTAGAGCATGCGGAGAGAGAGGCAGAAAATGACAACAGGAAAAGTTGTATGTTTGCACGTGCTATTGAGGGAAGGAAGGATTATTTTATAATGCTGGATCATGCGGAAAGAGAGGCAGAAGATGATAACAGGAATTGTTGTAAGAATGCATGTGCTAATGAGGGAATGAAGGATTATTTAATTGATTTTCCCATCAAAGGTGGTGCACGAAAATTGAGGGATGATATATTCTCGCACAATCCCAGGCAGAACCAGAGAGCAAAGGACAATAAATTTAGCTCTCTCCATACTTTTCAAGAGAAATTTTCGACTCCCCAAAGGATGACTAGTTTTTGCCGAAGCAAGTATAATAAGAAGAAAGTGCCACGCGAAGATGAATTGTCTGATCTTGAAGGCAGATTCCTTTATGATTCTGACTTTCCAGCTTTGGGGCAGAGTCAAAAGAAGGAAACAACAGAATCCATTCAGATCGGGAATGAATTGGGTTTAGAGTCTAAAGGCTCAGTGGTGGTTCTGTTTTCGGAAAATTACAGCAGTGGAAGTTTTGGAAGGTGACTCGCTTATGATCATTGATTTTGGAGTTGGAGGTTCGGATGGTCTCCGACGACAAGACGAGCAATAAGTGGCAGAAAGGCGGATAGAGTGTTTTCGAAGCTTGCTTCTTTGCACTCTTATCATGTGGAAGTTCATGGTTTTTGTGTTAGATTTTGGATTCTATGGTTTGAGTCAGCTGTTTTATTTGGCTTCTATTATAGTTGTTTTGTTTTGTGGTGTCATTCGGGCCAAGTACAGGCTTTAAGTCTGGTCAGTCATATTAGAGGCTGTTGTTGTGCTAAGTTGGATTAGGATGAGTTAATATTGGTGTTTAGGGTTGTTTTTTATTATTTTTGGTGTTCTGTTTTTGTTGGGGGTGGCTCTCTGGATGTATCTTGTAATTTCTTATGTTTAATGAAATCTTAAGACACTCTTTTCCTCCTTTTGCTGATTAAGGAGCTTCTCTTTGAACTCCTATAATTAAGAAGGGGGGTTTTAACGAGGCCTTCAATTCTTATAAAAAAAACATAAGGGAAACTGGAAAATAAACCTCACAACCTAAGGAGAGAGAAAATATAAAAGAACAAACCTCGACAACCAGCTTAAGCCCATCTAGGTTACGGCCTGTCCTCACATCAACAGTCGAAGGATAAGTTGAATCATCAGCACCATGGGAAATTGTCAGTAGCAGCTGACAGACATGGCAAGGTTCACCAAGATAGATAAATAATTCAACAACATCCGCAGCTTGGGGACAAACCTGCAAGAAACAATTAGATCCATGCATTCCAACAAATATTAAATAAATTAACAACAAAATAGAGAAGGGAAAAGTACAATTGATAAGTTACAATATAGTTTTCCTAGATGATTAAGAGAAAACCATTAGTACCCAAATTAGATCCTTTTTCTTGAAACTCAGTAGACTAGCTCCACCATTGGTGGTTGGGAAGATACTGCCTATAGGCTTCAGAAGGAATCCAGATGGTCGAGAAAGTACCTGTGACGAACAGTATGATAAGCGTGTGTAGACTGATATATATAAACAGCAAAATCAACTATAGTTTTCAAATTGAGCACTTTTTTTAGACAAGAATATACACCCTTGTGTGGAAAAAGAATTTTCACTTAAAACAGAAACTCTAATAAATAAGTCAAAAACTATATCATCCAAAGAATGTGGCATGGTCATCCCAAATAACAAGCTCATGTGTTTTGTATTAAGAATCATTATTGACCCATTTACTAACTTTTTATTGTCTTCTTATAACCATAACCTGAAGTAGCCACAAGAAAGCATGTGTTCAACTTCAGCAACAGAGTTTACCATCCAAGGTCAGGTTCAATTTGTTTGAGAGAGCTTCTTTTACCCATATGAAATTCCATGGTAAATTGTCCAAAACATAAGAACATCTAAGTAAAAGAAAATGTTGATGGAAACCAAACATTTACGAGCAAGTCAGAGTCTATAGTGATAAATCTGAAATCTAGAGCCACTGATATTACATACATGCAGAGGTTGAACTGCAACAGATGGGAGATGCTTGAAAAGCCTTATTCCAAGGAACATCTCTAACTGCTTTTGACGAGAGCTATCCACAAGTGCATTTTTATATCTCCTCTCAAGAGTGATTTTCAGATTTTGTGCAGCAGAAAATTGCTTGAACTTTCCTGTTTCTTCATTAAATATGCTTAGGATTTGGCTATGCATGGCTTTGGAACCCGTATAAAGTGTTGCATGGATATCACCAGCAAGCAGGAAAAGATCTGCGAGCTGAGACACTGGAGATAAAATCGTTGATCTCTTGAACTCATCAAATGTCATGTCAAATCTCTTCCATGGTTTATCTGGGCATGGATGATTCCATGTTGTGGTCCTTGTATTGTGATCAATATAATAAGTTTTACCCGTTACTTGATCAGATCGTTTCTCCCAGCCAGGTGGGAGTGGAGCAGAATACCCACCATAGTTATTAACTGCCTGGTAACCATATGTCAAATCACTATCAAGAGATATCCCAAGCCGCCTACACTGCTCAACAAACACTTGCAGTGCCCCAAAGAAACTAGCAGCATTGGTTCTATCCAAAGAATCTGCACAATTGAAACGTAACACACCATTTTGATGGGATCTTAAGCAGAAGGCCCCTTCAAAATCATCATTGTAGATGATTTCACCACTGCAATCCTTAAGTCGTTGTCGCGAAGGCAAATAATCTCCTTCGGAAATGCCTATAGCCAGTGTGGGTGCTTTTAGAAGTTTCCACAATTCCTCAATTGTTTGTTGTTCACCTTGTAGCTTTATCCGGGCATGCCAGTCATAATTTATTAAATGAATTCGAGTATAGGGGAGTTTTCCGATGGATTTAATATGGTTTAATGATTCCGCAAAATGGTGAACTAAAATGCATTCAGATTTTCCTTCTCCATTTCTAAGCAAATTGACACATACAATTGGAACAAAAGGCTTTGGCTTCTGATTTTGCCCAACACCAACATCTAAGTTACGAGCATCATATCGATTACTTAATCTCTGATAATACTGTGAACTTCCTCTATAAGGTTCACGATCTGAAACATAAATTTCTGCTTCAGCAGCAGTCATCTTTAGTTCAGCGCCCCACCAGATTGGTATTGTGCCCCGTCGCCAAACATATGTGTTAAAAGGTACACTTTGACCTGCCCTTTTAGGCACCCATACAACTTGTTCACACTCTACTTCATTCCCTATGAATATGATGTTCTTTATAAGTTACAAGAAAATGCATGTGATAACAAACAGTGTAATGAAAGGCAGGACAAAATGGAAATTGATGCAAAATGATATTAAAAAAAACAATAATCTAAAAGAGAATAAAGAAACTTGCATCTAAATTACATGATGTGCAATAGTAGCTGGAAACACTTGAAAAGTGTTCAATTACTTATTTTGAATCTAAATCAATTCAGGGTACACATCTTGAATAATTCACTGTTTTCATTCTGGTTTCTCAAAATACTTTAGCAGAGGTCAAGCAAAGTGTCATCAAGAAATTTTCAAACCAAATATGCTGCATCACACTCACAGCAAGACTCTAAAACCACCTGTCATGCCACATAATACACATGTATCTTAAGTGAAAGACCACTCATCATTGTAGCTTAAATACACAATGTAATCATGCACTGCAAGCTATAGTCAATCAACTCTCAGCAGAGAGATAGAAAAGTCAATTCAACATAAGGCATTGAATTGAAAAAGAAAAAAAAAGTGATCAAACAATTAAAACAAAAAAAAATGAAAGAGTAGCTATAATAGAAAAAGGGGTTAGTAACCATATTTAAACACTTGTGAGGAGAGAAACAATAATCCCATCAAAGTAACATGCAAAACTATAGAAGAAGACAGATATGTAGATTATCTTACCTGTGCTGAAACATGAATTTATACCCCTAGCCAAGTATCGAGTACCAGGATGCAGCCTACTTCGACGAGCTATGAGAGCAACAATACCTTCTACCTGACCTGAACTACCAAAACTTCGACTTTCTGCAAACCCCTATACAAAAATAGCAGGAAAGAAAGAAGTATTAAAATATCAAACTCATGCAATACCTCTATGTGCATACAGGATACAAAAAGAAGCATAAACATGAGGAGAATGTCATAGCAAAACAGTAAACAGCATGACAATCACAAATTGAACATTTTACTACCACAAAAGAGTAGTAAACCAGAAATTCTTCCATCTAGAAAAAAATTGCATTAAAAAATCAGATGAGCATTAAATTGAAGATACCGAGTATGAAGCAAAACCTGCAGAAGAATGACACAATGTCGTGTCAACCCAATGTTTTTAAATGGCATTGAAAGCCATCCATTCCAAACAAATTCATCATCAGGACTGAGCAGTGGCATGCGACTCGGAGAAGGACGAGTTATATCTCTTGTCTCACAGAAGTAGTGCTTCCCATCAATGTCAAGCTCAGTTAATTCTTGTATGTTCTTTATTTCTCCTTTATCCTGGGGTTGAGGATTTTGAAGGGGTATTTTGATCCATTGACTCTCCACAACTGTAAGCACACATCCACCACCAGGCATATAGGGAACGCTAGCAATTAACTTTGTAGCAACAAGAAGTAACCCATAGCTTCCCAAGGTGGCATAGCCCAATATTGCCCTGGCATGAATTTTACTCTTACACTGCCAGGGTGATCCATTGGTAACAGTTTCCAATGCTTCATTCTCAGACCTAAAAACATCAAGACCAAACTTCCCATGATAGCGGAGCACCCCAGTTGTTGGATCGACATAAATAACCTGTGTGTCACTCCTAGTAGACAAGGTAACAACAATATAAACTTCACCCGTATCCAATGTAACCACAACAACAGATGTGCTTCTTGAACCACCACCTACAAGTATACCCGGATATAATCAGATAAAGCAGTAAATTAAACTTAACCAACCATCAAAAACCACAATTAACCCAAAGAAATAAATACAATATCTGATCACCTGGTGATTCCATGAGCTCGAAATGGAACTACAAACTAAAAACTTCCTGAAAATAATCCGCTAAAACAAAATGAAACCCAAAAAGGGTAAAGAATCAAATCTCCAATTTACATGAACAAATTGCAAAAACAACCAAAAGATGCATTCAAACCGAAAGATAAATTAACTCCCTATGGACGAAAAGGCAATTACATTGAAGCAAATAATCGATGACATATAAATATAAGCAATCCCCTAAATCTAGATCACAAAATTCAACTTTCCTCTTTGTTCCTGAGATCTAAAAGGTTCAATAATAAATTTGTGAAAAAATAGAAAAAAAATGAATAATCCAGCAAAAAGTAAGAAACTACTCGATTTCTGGTTATTTCGCTACGATCTCAAATCGAATCAATCATTCAAACCCAAAAAACAAAAATATCAAATTCACCTAATTTAGTACCAACTGACTACGGAAATGAGTTCTAAAATGGAATGAATGAATATGAATGGAACGAAAATTAATATATTTTATTATTAGAAATTGCAAAAAAAAAAAAAATTGAACTTTGAAAAGTATATGAACTGACCGGAGAGTCGGAACATCGGGGAGAGAGGCAGGAAGAGAACAGAAAGGTTTAAAGGACGAAGAAAAAGAAAAAGAAAAGATCGTCTGCGGTTGCGTACAGAAAGTGTTATCCAATTACCCCTGGCCATGTTGATTTATTTCCTTTTCTTCGACTCTCCAAATGTCCACTATCAAAAATATATATTAAAATCCAAATTAGTTTATAAATTTAAAAATAGTTTAATAAATTATTTAAAATCACTTTTATAAAAAAAATTATGTTCTTAGTATTATCAAATTTTTACTAATTTGAATGTTAAGTATGATATATACAAATATTTATGACATATAATCTTAAATTTTAATTAATAAATGTTATTTAAATAAAAAATTTGTGCAGTGAGGATTCTTGGTGGTTATATTTTATCTATAAAGGTCTTAAGAATTACGTAAGATAAATGTTTTGGAGACGTATAATTTGCTTTATGATCTATGTAACTTTTAGAGTGTTAGTTGGACGAGTTAATTGTATCATATGTTTCTAAATTATAATCATTATTTTAAATTAATTTTTAAACTTCTAAATATTTTTGATTTCATCTTAAATTATGAGTCTCATTTTAAATTAGTTCTTAAACTTTTAAATATTTTAATTTCATCCCTAAACCCCGACTCTCTTTCTAAATTGGTCTCTAAACTTTTGAAAATTTCAATTTCATCACAAATTCATCTAAATATGTAAGTAGTTTCAACCATAACCTAAATTTTTTTTTATCAAACATATAATAATAAAGCTCGGTCTGATCATTTTATTAACAAGGGGTGTGATTAGTATATACATATAGTTTAGGATGCAATTGGAATGTTCAAAAAGTTTGGGGACCAATTTAGAATAAAGATCATAGTCTGTGGATGAAATTGAAAATATTTAAAAGTTTGAAGACTAATTTAAAATGATAGTCATGATTCAAGGATAAAATTAGAACACTAAAAGTTTAGGGACCGATCTAAAATAAGAATCATACTTTGAAGACATGTGATGCCAACGAGGTAGAGCTCGATAACGTTGAATCATATTAAACTACATCTGCCAACGAATGTTAGTGGACTATCTATAATTTCTTATGTAAATCACAATTAGATTTTGAGTATGTCCTGACCCTAAACTAAGGGAATCACCCTTAACCTAAATTTTATTGCATAATATATATATATATATATATATATATATATATATATATTAAACTACGTCTCTTATGTGTATTATTCTCGTAATAACCACTTTTTGTCTAAGCCTGTTTAGTCCAATTGAAATAAAATTTTATTTATTTTATAAAATAAAATAATTAAAATATATATTTTTATTCTTTTTACAACTCAAATAGCGTAATAAAAACCTACATGTTACACTACACTCGTGATCCGAAGAGTTATTAGCATGCCTAATAGTTCAATATGCTAACTAATCAAGGGCAACAATCGAACGGATACACATGTAACTCAAATTAGGACTACATTGATAAAATATATAAATATTTAAGATTAAATATGTAATTATATAAAAAAAATTATTTGTCACGTCACTCTCTATTAGATTTTAACGGCTAGTTGCTCTATTGAACCCATTTAAATAGTTAAATTATCATATTGATGTAAATTTAAAAATAATGATTATTTCGATACTTATACTATAGTTAAGTGGTCATTCTAGTAATTTACCCTATAATATATCAACCCGTTTACTAAACCGGTTTTGATATCTTCAAGACTTCAACGTACGTTGAACTCGAAATGCGAATACGAAAAATCTGTCCCCACACATAACAAGAGGCAAAGCGCTGCGCCAAGTCAGTCATTGAATGGATTAAGTACAATCTAACAGCTTCGACAAGCCACACGATTTTCCATCGTCACCCATTTCTTTCTCTTCATACATATTTCATTTTCTTCCATTCTTTCTACTCTCCTTCCTTGTACATCAACCGATTCCTTTCAACTCAGCTTGTTTTTTATGTTTCATCCGCCTTCAATTTCGTTAGAAACTTGCATTAGGGAGGGCGAATTACTTGGTATACATTTTGATATTTGATCTTATTTTTTGTTCTTTGTAAAGTTTACGATTATCCCATGTTAAAGAACCCTTTTTTACTGCCATTTGGGTGTTGTCTAGCCTATAATATAGTCTATAGATTAAATTTTAAGATATATAAAAGAAGGGAAAGAGCTAATGTTTTGATCTTGTTGCTACAAAGATGAAAAATGGGTTGCCCTGATAAAACCCTCTGATACTTTTGATTCATTCGACTTAACGTTCCTAAAAAATGGCCTTTTTTTGTTTGTTTCCCTGGATTTCATGTTATGGATTTGTTATTTTTAGTTTGATGTGGGGTTTTTTTGTTGTTGGAATTTTAGCAGATATCGAAGTTTGTTGAGTTTTACCAAGTGTGGTTTGCTATTCAGATCATTTTGAACAATGTTGCCAGTTTGCTCAGCCGCTGCTGGCTGCTCTTCACATTCTCAGGTAAACTTTTCACTTTCTTGAACCATAAATTTTCTTCTTATGTACCCTATTTGACTCGCTTGTTTTTATTTTATGGTTTTAAATCTTTTCCCTATTCTTGAATGTTACAACTTTCATGCTTGAATAGCTAAATTCTAATCAAAGTTATGAAATTTAACTGCCATGGAATACTGAATCAGTTTCAATGTAGAGTAGTTGATAATAGTTGGTTAGTAAGTGGATTGAGCTGCATTGAGGGTATGCTTTGTGTCAGTGAAGACCATAATATGTCCTAATATTTTGGGGAATTTATGTTTATAGGATATATTAGTAAGCATTGCTCGTTTATCTTCTTTTTTCAAGGTATAGCCTTTCTTGTGTAACAATTTTTTCCCAAATCCCGACAATCTTTAAAATAATTTTGCCTCAAGAAGTAGTTCATTCGTGTATTTGAAACAATGACCTTGTACTAGAGCTTCATTCAGGGCATGCCTTTGCCAACGAATGCATTTCTTTGTGTAACAAATGTATTTCCTGCATCGTGAGTCGTGGTGTATCCTTAAAATGGCAGTGCTTAATTGTCTTTTAAGAAGAAGTTCATTCAATATTCAAACTGATGCCTCTAGCAGATTTCATTTCATGGAGATTTGCGGCCTTTCACTCCATTTGAAAAAGACTTTCAGTTCAGATGTAACTATCAAGACAGGTCTGCTTTCGGCATGTCAAATGAAAATCATCTCCATAGAATGTGTTTTAAGCCACAAGCAACGAAATCTTTATACTCCAATTTTGTTGAAAGCACTGAACAACCAGTATCTGTGGACCTTGTTAATGGTTATTCTTGCCCAGACGAGGTAGTTGATGTTAAATGCAAAATTTCTAATGAATGGAGTTCTTCGGTTGAAGCAATAATGTCACCCGCAGATGTCGAACTGAAATATGTTGAAGATTCTAGCATATCTGATGCAGAAGAGAAATTTGTCGATTCGTCAAACCAGTTAGTTGAAAATGCCAATGATTACATGGGCTTGGAGGGACCGGAAACCATATCAACTATTGACACAACGCCTGAGACTTCCACTGCAGCATCTAGCTCCCTGAACTTTGACAACGATTCACTATCCAATGCCAAAACTGGTCTTGATGATTTTCTGTCTGGGGTTAACGAGACTGTTAATTATTCGCTAGACAAGGGAGAGAATGCTGTGAAAAGCTTATTGGAGAAAATTACTTCTTCTATAACTTCTGTTAAGACAAGTGCTTCTGAAGCTGTCGATAATGCTCAAGTATTAGCTGACAATAAGCTATCAAACTTATCAAATGACTTGAAGGAAGTATCAAGTAAAGCTAATATTTTTGCTGTCGACTTGTTGAGGCGTACAATTGTCGGAGTGGAGGATTCTTTAGCAAACGGGGCTTCCACTTTCGTATATTATTATGCTTCTGCTAAGGAAAGTCTTCCGCCGGAGATCAAAGATACACTAACTTTGTATGAAGAGAAAACAGGAAAAGTCTTAAAGCCTGTTGGGGATGCCCTGCAACAGGTATCCTTTTGTTTGGTGTTCATATCAGTTAATGGCTCATGGTTTTAATGTTCAAGCATAGGACTCTATTTTTTCATCAAATCCATTATTTATTCAGTTGTGAGCTTCTTCTTCTTCTTTTCATTTTTATTTTAATTCAATTTGTTGTAAGCAGATTTACATTGGCATTGAGGGGCTGGAAAGGAGTGTAGGCTTTGATCCGAATGATCCCATTGTCCCCTTTTTCCTTTTCATTGGCTCCTCAGCAACTCTATGGTATGAATGTTCTTATGTGCTCATTTGAATTTTAAGTTTAACTGAATATTTTCTTTTTTGCATGTGGAGTTTATATTTTGTATCAGATCTGTACAGGGCGTTTTACTGGGTATGGGCATATGGTGGTTACTCTGGGGACTTATCTCCTAAACTAACTTTGGAGCTCTTGTCCGGAAAGGAGAAGGCTTTACTTATTGATGTGCGGCCTGAGGCAAGACACCGCAAACTATTTTGGCTCTTTTTTGCCCCCCTTTTTTGTGTATTTGCGTAAGACGAGAAAGTGCCATAGCTCAAACTTAGGTTCTCAGTCCTAAGCCTACCCCACAACCCACTTGAGCTGCACTCCAATGTGTTTCAGGCCATCTGTTTTGTAGCATGGATTATGTTCTGAATTTTGAAATTCAATTCAAAAAGACTTAACCAACCTAGTTCCATAGTGTTCTCATGCTTCTTTTCTTAGGATGCTTTTTTCCCTCATAGATGATTAATAATCTATTATTTTTCTGAAGTTGAAATTTGTTTTTTCTATTCTATTGAATCTGAAGTGGCTTATTTTTGGGCATTAACTTTGTCAAGGTCTTAAGAGAGAGAGATGGCATTCCCGATCTTCGACGAGCAGCACGGTCTCGTTATGCTAGTGTATATTTACCTGAGGTCTGTTTAGACATAACCATCTTACTTGAAAGTTTTACTTTATTCGCTTTCCCAAAGCTTTATCTTTTATGGTTTTCGTTTTCTTTCAGGTTAATGGTTCAATACGGCAATTAATGAAGAGCGGAAGGGACCTTGATGATTCCTTGATTGCTATTGTTATTCGAAACTTGAAAACCATTGAGGTTTGTATCTTCTTATATTTCATTGTTTACCTCTTCGCTGGTTTTAGTTGCTTTTTAATCTAGAGCTTTGCAGAAAGAGCGAAAGAAGAACTTAGGGTCAGACTAATCAAACTTTGTAATGCATTCATATTTAGGCTACTAAGAACAATTTAGCATATGATTTTGTACCTTCGTATGTCTATGAACTTTCGTACTTTTTTGCTCTTCTTTGTCAACCTAGTTTTATTGTCATACCAAATCCATGGCTTGTTGGAAAGGTTGGAGGAAGAGGGAAAGGGGGGGGGGGTTGATCATGCACATCCAATCTTTTTTCTTATTTGATGTAGCTAAAGTTACCTACTGAGCGTGGCCATTGTTATTGGCCTTTGAATAGAACATCATAATTACTATGGTTATGAAGGGGTTTTTTAATGAGACGTCTTCTCTTTATCAAAAAAAAAATAGAACATAATTTATGTATATTTTCTTTTCTACCACTTGTAGGACAGGTCGAAGGTCATAATTATGGATGCCGATGGTAGTCGCTCCAAAGGAATTGCAAGATCATTGAGAAAACTTGGGGTTAAGGTAAGCATGTCTGAATTTTCAAAGTTTAAGAAAATAGCTTTTAGATGCCCAAAACTAGGAGAGAGGAGAGGGGGAAGGAATGCGAGTTACGATACCTGGAACTCATATGTTGTTTTTTCCTTTTCTTTTCATGAATTAACATTCATATCTTAATGTTGTGTCTGGCTGCTCGAATGTGAGAGATACTACAATGCCTCTCTGAAATATCACAGTTAGATATTTGAATATTTGATCTAAGGAGTGATATTAATTTGGTCTGTTATAGTTTTTGAAGACTGGTGACTAAAACCAAACTGAAGTATTCAGGACCTAAATGGTTAAATCCGTAAATCCTAATATCTCATTTTGGAAGCTGAGCATTGCATTGTTGCCCGCTGACTCAGTTTAATATGTGTTTTATATCACAGAAACCCTACCTGGTCCAGGGTGGCTTCCAATCATGGGTGAACCAGGGTCTCCGAGTTAAGGAACTAAAACCAGAGACAGCACTTACGATACTCAATGAGGTATTTATTATGCTGTTTATTGTTCAATTAGAGGACACCAAGTAGCTCTGGATTCATTTGTGACTAAACTGCCTAAAGTATATCTGAAAAATATTGGACCAAGAATAAAAGAGGGAGAAAGTCCCAATTTATTGGAAACTACTTGGTCATCATGGAACATAATCACATATTCTTACGCTAATGTGATTGATTTTGGTAGTTTCGTCGCATTTCGTCTTCAATCTTAGATGTTCCTGCTACCGGGTATAATAGCTATTTTAGAGCTGATGTTTACTGAACCACGTCGAGCAGTTGCAACTAACACATCCCCACCATGTGATGGAGAAATGAAGAAATAGAGAAACAAACAGCTAGGGTATCCATATCATGTTAAACATATATCCTTAAAATCCGATTCGCTACTGCTAGAATGTCCCACCTTAATATAAGACGCTTCCAAGCCAAATTATTACTGATCTAGGATTTCCAAATATGTCATCCATGAATGATTTGAATAAAAATGCTTTCGACTGTTTTTTTTTAATTTATTTTTTTCATCAGTGTAACGAATTTTAACTTGTATTCATCCCAGGAAGCTGAGGCAATCTTAGAAGAAATTAGTCCTTCTCCAGTGCAACTTCTTGGATATGGTGTGGTAAGACTCAGGTTCCTTTTATGATGTGTGAGTTTTAATAGTTTATGTACTAGCTAAAAGAAGGGTATTCTTATTATTTCACTAGTTTGAGTAATATTCGAAGCATGTTTGTTTTCTCGTAAGGTGGTCCGATGTCATCATTATCCTCACTTGTAACAAGTTAATTATATCAGTTAAAACCCACAAAATGCTAATGTATATCTTTGTGGCAGGGTTCTGTAGCAGCAATTTACGCGCTGCTAGGTATATTTATCTTATCCTTCCTTGAAAGATCAATTCCTTTCCTTTTTTCTCTTTAAAATTAAACTGAAACCTGGAAGCAATAATTGATTGTGATTTATCCCAAGGTAGTCTAGCAATATGCATTTTGCACTTAGAATTTCGGAAATGCTCATTTGTTGTTGGTTTTTATTTGTAAATTATGGAGTAAGAGAGAGTAAGAGAGATTTCTATTTAATATATCTTCTCTCTAATATATTTTTCGAGGTATTTTGTCATGCATGTGCACTTCGTAACTCTTTAATGTCGATTTTATGTTTACTGGCATTCCGCTTCTTTGTAGAGTGGGAGAAATCATTACAGCTGATTGGCATTCTTGGTCTAGTCGTGGTACGTAAACCTCCTGGTTTAACGTGCTCTTGTCGAGTTCTCGGTATTTGATATCTATTTCCTTGTTTTTCTAAATTAAAACAAACTTTTGATGTTTTGAATAAAAATGAAAAAGAACGAGCCGTTACTTTGTACAGACTCTCGTCTGAACATCTTCAGTTTCTCCTATATTTTACTTTGAAGAGAATGTTTTAGCAGCTCTTTTAAATTTAGCTTATTGATAATGGTGATTCTAAAACTTCTTCATTGTCGGTTTGTAACTTTTACAGACCATTTATCGGAGGGTCTCTTCATACGAGAGCTCCGAGGATCTGAAAAAAGACATAAGGTACACCCTTCTTCAAAACATTTATGATACTGATACTGTGATATTCAAAAGATTGTTTGTCTACATTCATGATTTTTCTTGAAGTACTTGTGTCTGATCCCATTTCCAAACTATATGGCTATTAACGGCGTTGTCTTACATAAAACCGTTGTCAAGGAATAGTTGTGGTAGCTGTTGCCAATGCAGTATCTGCAGAATAATGAGAACTAAATAGATCTTATGGACTTGGTACTCGAAAATGTCTTTTGATTGTCGGTCGTTCACGTTACGTAGAATTGTATGACCTTGGCCTTCCTGCTTTTGTCATCTATGAGTTAGCTGCTGATAAAGTTATTAATTTTGCATAATTATTGTCTTACTCATGGACCAAGGATCAAGATATTAAATCCTTCTAACCAATTTGTTGGATTTTACTGAAACCTTGACCACAATTTGTTCTTCCAACTGAAATGCTTCTTGAAGGTTTTTGCTAGCTCCTGTCAGATTCGGAACCCAGGCACTTTCATGGGTTTCCGGGAACTTAGAAACCAACGGCATTGGACTTCCAACATCACCCTCATCGTCAGATGTTCAAAGCCGAGTGTTGCAGGCTGCTGCGAAGCATGAATCTAAGCCGTCCGATTCAGAAGATCCCGATGCAATGGCTCCGATGAATGAGAAAGTCGACCTCTCCGAAGCATAGGTGTAGCGCAATTTTCTCGCAGTAAAATGTCTCCATTTGATCATCAGATTGGTGAATTCAAGGCCACCTGGCTCACTAGGATGTAGTGAACAAAGAGTTTGCAAAGATACTGACCTGTCAAAACCCTAAAAACAAGTCATTTACATGAGTTGGATCATTTCTGTTCTATAATACTCATCAAACAATCATAGCAACTCCAATCAATAAAGAAGCTTGGTTAATCATTTCCAAACTTACATGTTGGTTTTGGTTGGTGTCATTATGGATTTATCTCCATGCTGCTTGTTTTAGAGAAGTAGAGGGCATTATTTAGTCTGGCTATGGTGCTTCTGTGTAATGCCTGTGCTCGTCACATCTTGAAAAGGTGAAGGACATTAATCCCACATCGAAAAGGAAAAAGGAGATCCAGTTTATAAGCGGTGACACTACACGTCCTATCATACATATCTTTCAGAAAGAGGTAATGGACCTCATATTGATGGATGCATGCTTTTCAACCAGTTCGAACCTGAAGTTTCAAGCTTTAGCATACATCAATCACCCTACTAACTTCACTTGTAGGAACCTATTTTCATTGGCTGTCGGAGAAATCTGCATCGATTACATCCCCATCAGACCCCTTGTTTCACTACCAGGTGCAGAGCCAGTGGCACCACCAGCGCCAGGATGCGTTGGTCCTCGGAAAACATTTCACACCAACCTCAAGCACTGCACCAATATTACCAAATGCTCACAACAAAGCATTTGCCGGTGTTATCTTCACTTCTTCATATTTTAATATTTTAAACGTATTAATCCCTTTTAAGAACATACAATCAGATGAGAATCCAAATAAGGTGATTGAGAATCTTTTTCACTCAATAAAGTTAAAGAATTTATTATCGATGTTATTGAAAAGTATCAGTATCGAATTTAGATTTGTTGTTTTGAAGTATTAATATTAGACAAAAAGCATCAGTGTTTTAGTGGAAGTCTCAATCCAAACCCCCATTTTCAACTTGATTTATTAATGATTTAATCACTCAATTTTCAAATTGTTCATGTTTTAATCACTCTAATTTATTTTATTAATAATTTTGTGACATGACATTTTTATTATTATTTTATTAATATATAATTAAAATAAAAATTAAATTTAAAAATTAGAATGATTAAATTAGGAGTAATTTGAAAGTTAAGTAATTAAATTAAAAAAATAAACTTCAATGACCAAAATAAGAGTGAGAAGATAGTTGAGTGATGAATGATGTAATTTACCCATAAAAGTGTAACGCTAACCGACACCAAAACGAAAACAAAGTAAGCATTAGGTATGATTTTGAAACAAACGAAAACAAAGTAAGCATTAGGTATGATTTTGAAACAAATGAAAGTATAAGCACTAAAACAAAATAAAATTGATAATTTAAATACTAAGCGTGTAATTTATCCTATATTATAAGGCTTTAAGATAAGTGGAGGTTGTATGTAGAACACATCCACCGATCGAATTTTTTATATTAGTTGTTTATTTTATTGAATGTGTCCACTTAAAATTTTATTTGTGTCTATCCCATATAAAACTTTTTTTGTTTTTTATACATATGTGTCAACTTTAAAAAAATATTTTTGAATTCACGGTTTAAGATAATAAATTTCAGGCTTATAAAAAATTAGTACTTAATTTTGACAACGTTTTCAAATTGATATTTGATTCCCCCAAATTAGTACTTAAATTTAAAAAAGAATATAATATTGAACCCTAAGTTTTATTTTTTTTGTTACCCTCCTAATTTTTAAGATTTTGTTCGGGTTAATCTAAACTGATCTATATTATACACTTAATTTTAATAAATGAGTCTCTTAACATGGATTTTCTATATTCACAAGAACTCGAACATAATGAAATAATAGTTCAACGCTCAATCAAATTATAACATGTGATATTTAATGACATCGTCATTATGATTTATCTATACCATGTTAAATATTTGATTAAGTGGTTATATCAAATCAACACAGACACGATTTGACAAAAACTTAGAAATTCATATATTAATTTGTATAATAAACCTAAATTCCATATGTTGTTGAGGAAAAGACGTTTATAATTTTTTTGAATTTCTTTCTCAACGGTCACAAATTTTAAAAAATTCGAACGTTAACGCAGAAACTCGTCGCCGTTTATCCTTGTTCTCCTTTCTTCAATCTAAAGAACACCTTCAAATCTTTCTCCAGAAGCGAAATTTCAAGCTCGAAATTTTGATTTTTCATCGATGGGTCTCTCAATCGAGAATTCAGTAAGAGAGTCCCACAGCCGAACCCACAAATTCTTCTTGATCAGCAATTACCTCCTCCTGGGATCCGCCTCGAGTTGCATCTTCCTCACCCTCTCCCTCCGTCTATTCCCTTCCCTGTTCGGCTTCTTCTTCATCCTCCTCCACGTCGTCGCCATCGGGGGCGCCGTATCGGAGTGTTCCGTCGCGATCTCGGGGTCCAACAAGTGGTACTTGTCTCACATGGTCACGATGGGGCTGACGTCGATATTCGAGGGCTCTGTTTCGGTGCTCATATGGACCCGAACCGGAGATTTCTTGGGGTACCTGAAGTCCTACGTAAGGGAAGAGGACGGGGTTCTGATACTGAGACTGGCCGGCGGGCTGTGCGTGGTGGTTTTCTGCCTGGAATGGGTGGTTTTGGGGTTGGCCTTTGTGTTGAGGTACTATGCTTTCGTTGAAGGTCATGTGGTTGGCAATGGCGGATCATTGAAACAGAGGAACGGGAGAGTTGGAGATGAGGGTCTGAAGAACTGGCCTGGCCCTTTCCAAGTTTAAGAAAAGCTAAATTCTGGGTTTTGTTTGGAATTACATTATGTTACATTGTAAATTACTGGTGATTTTACTGTTCTTGTACTGTATTTGTTTGCCTGTTCGATCTGTTCGTGATTAAAAGTTCAATAAATTGTTGATTTCTATTTCTATATGATTTTTGCTTATGAATCCAAGTTTTTGTCATGATCAGTAAATTATTAACGTGTTACAAAATGGTCACAACGGTATTACAAAATGATTATGAAATTTTATCGAACTATTACAAATGATTCTTAAAATTATCAGAATTAACTATTATTATAATATTATAGTAATCATTTTAGGTTCAATACAAAAATAAATGTCTAAATTATGTCTCGAAAAATATTTTAGTGTCTAAATAATTTTTCGCTAAAATAGATGCTTAATATTTTTAACATTATATATTTAGGCTTTGACACTAACCGCAATTAAAAATCTACGTTAAGTGATATATATCTAAAGAATTTTGATAATTTATTTAAAAATTTTAAAAATAAAAATATTTTTTATTAAAAAATAAATATATTTTTCTAAATAATTTTTTGCATCAATTTTACCCAAATAACACCATAACAATGAAATATTACTTATTAGACACATTTTCTCCAAATATTACCGATCTAGCACATTTTTTGATAAAGCACAGATCATGAGGCGCTTTTTCACAGGGTTTTGTCCAAGCTGGCGCCACGGTGAAAAAGCTCGGATCATGAAACGCGCCTTCGTGGGGTTCTGTCCGAGCTGGCGCCACGTAGCAAAGGCGCAAATCATGAAGGGCGTCTTCAATGGGAAATTTAACACGTGCAGGGAAGGCGAGCCTTCTATTATTCATGAATTATTGCGCACTCCATTATTACCTGACCCAACTCTCTCGGTCACCCATCCCTCTCCCCTATAAATACCTCCGAATGCAAACATCAAACCACACCAAATTAATTTCACATTATTCATTCTATCAAGCTAAGTAGATTTTGTTATAGTTTTTAGAATGTAAAATTATTTTTTATTATATTATATTTATTTTATATTTAATTATTTGACCAAATTTTATTGTAATAATTATTTTTATTATTTTTTTAGGTTGTAAATGGAATACGGGATTATATCTCGAGATATTTTGTCGATACGGTAACAAAATTAAATTATGTTATTTAAATTAGTGATTTTTTATTTGACCAAAACTATGTATTTATGTATTGATTTATACATGCATTGCATTTTATCTTTATTTTTAATTTTCTGACTGCTAGAGGTCTTCCACGGAAGCTGCTCTCAACCTGGCGTTGGGGGCAGCCTACTACACTACATCCCCTTATCCCATTGTAAATGAGAATAGGGTTTTGTTGTTGTTGTTATATATTATTTATTTAATTAGGTGTATTTCAGCTATTTTTTTTGCAGATATATAACTCTCATTCTTTCAAACTCTCGAACTCTCAAAATGAGGCTTATTTCAGCTATTGTTACCATAATGGAGAAATTCGGGAAGATGAAACCGACATTGTCTTCGCATCAAATCATTCAGTCATAATATCCTTAAAGAGAAACAACACTCTTGAGGAGTTGATCACTAAAATTTCAAGGAATGTTCATATTGGAAATACTAGAAGACTGTCCTCACTTCAGTACAGATTTCCAACTACACTATTTCCGTTAACTTATACTGTGTTCGAACTCTCCAACGATGTTGCTATGATGGTTGATGTTCAGAATTAAAATTCAGACGGTGATACAAAAATGTGTGCCAACATTTGTTGAAATGTCTACAGTTTGTGATATGATATTATGCTCACACTATAGGCTAGCTCAACAAGTTGATCAAGTTGACAGCCCAACTCAAGTAATGTGTAATGATTTTAACTCATTAACGGGAAATCCACATCCTGATACCATCCCATCAAGTTCAATGGGGAGACATTTATTAGCAACTTGTTACGATCTCCACCGATGTGGCTCCACGAACAATATGTATAACAATATCACTTCCAGTTCAAGGGAAAGGCATTCATCTACCAATTTCTTGACCTGAATATGGAGATACCCTAGATACAACAATCTATTCAGTACCTATTTGATACGATGCCTACAAGTTTTAGGGGAGACATTCAACTGTGAGCTTCTTCGACCTCAATATGGAGATGCATGCGACACAACACTCAGTTCAAAATCCATACGACACAATGCCTTCAAGTTCAAGAGAAAGACATTCAACTACCAGCTAGTTCGGCCTAAATATCGGCATCACAGAGGAACCCTCATCTCCACCAGAAGAACCTCTTCGTGAGCCAAGTACTATGCTGAGACTGGACTATTTGTTGAGCTAGAATCACCACAGTTCAACATGGACTCCGATGATGATGATGTAGATATAGTTCCCACAAATATGGTACACACGGAACCTTCAACACACATGTATGAAGCTGACTATGATACAATGCAGGGCCAAAAATTACGGACATGCCTAATGTTGGTGACTACGGATTTAACTCATCAGTCAATGATGGTGAGTTATATATCGAAATAGAGTTTTCATTCAAAGAAGAAGCGATGATTGCAATTAATAATTACAACATTCGTAATTCTGTTCACTCTAAAGTCGATCGATCCACTACCGAAAAATATGTCTGCTACTATGTCTAACGTGATAACAGATTCAACTGGATGGTTCGTGTATCAAAGAGGAAGAGGAAAAATAACATGTGGGAACTAACAATATACAAAAGTCCTCATACATGCTGTGCTAGAGGGATCAACCAGGAATATCCCAACTTGGACTCCGACATTATCTGCAAAGCCATTATGCCCATGGTCAAAGAAAACTCCTATATAACTATTGCGGTGCTGATTTTAACTATACAGTCTCAATATGGGTACACCGTCTCCTATAAGAAAGCATGGAAGGCAAAATAGAATGTCATTAAAAACTTCACAGATAGTGGGATTCATCTTACAATGAACTATCAAGTTGGTTTAGGGTAGTGCGCAGATTGAATCCTGAGATAATAATGGACTTCGAAACTTGCCATGCATACCACAATAATCGAGTGCTTCAGGATTGATGCCAATTCTACTGACTTTTTTGGACTTACCCATAGTGCATTAATATTGTGAAATACTGCAAAACCGTTATTCAAATTGATGAGACATTATTGTATAGAAAATACAAGTAAATTTTGTTATTGGCAATTATCCAAGATGATAATCGCAACATTCTTCCAGTTGCTTTTGCCCTTGTTGAAGGAGAAGATACATATTCTTGGGCTTTTTTCCTAAAAAAATGTACACTTACATGTTGTTACGAGGGAAAAAATCTGTGTCATTTTAGATCGCGGAGCTGGGATCAAAGCATCAATGGAGTATTTGGGTCCAATGTGGCAATCACCCTATGTCTAACATCAGTAATGTATCCGACATATTGCTGCAAATTATCATGGAAAGTTCAAGAAGAATGATGAGCTCCAATTACTTGTGCACATGAGTATATCACAATGTCTAATTTCATTTCTCAATCATTTTCATTTTTTTATGGGAGCTTTACAATAAGTACTACATTTGACGCTCAGATTACTAACTATTACCTTAAACGTTTGAGTAAATGCTTCAATATTTACGAGGAAAAAAGAGCAATGGTACAATTTCATCAACCTCGTCAACAAAGAAATGTGGACAAATGCAGACGATGATGGATATCGATATGGACACATGATGACCAACTTGGCTTAGGCTATCAATTCAACCTTAAAGGGGGCACATCATTTACCAGTAACAACTTTGGTTAAAACGACTTATTTTCGTTTGAAAGTGCTTTTTGCAAAGCTCGGGGGACAAACTTTAACTTGGATACAAAACGACCATACTTATCACCTAAGATTAGTTGCATATCTACAAAAAAAATTACTACATCAAATGAAATGTTTATAACAAGTTTCTCTCAAACCCATGAATTATTTTATGTCACATAAATGCCACAACATGTTCAAGGGATTGAAGCTAACTCGTTTAGAGTTAATGTAACACCCCCAACCTGTACCCGACCCGGATACGAATCTGAGGTGTCACATGGACCTTTTAAAAACCTTTACACTTATAAATATCATGAAAATTTTAAACTTTCATTAAAATAAAGTTAACCAATTTACATAATTATATTCAAAACATTACAAAATCGATCAGAGTATACGTAATTCACAATTTTGTTTACATGCCAACATATTTATTACAACAAAAGACATATTGTGTAAATTACTTCTGATCTGATCTTCGAGAAGAGGTATGTTGTTTCTGTAGATCCTAGTTCTGATCCTCTTGCTTCTCAGTACCTACGTGTGAAACACTCACACGCTAAGTGATTGACTTAGTGAGGCATACAATCAAATAATGCATTTCCTAAAGTATAAACATGCAATCCAATAATTCCATATACAATCATAATTATCAAATCATTATTTAATCATATCACATATGGTCCATCATTAACAATAATAGCATGATATTTTATGTTAACGTAAACTCTTATATCTTTTATGTGCTCATGTACATTATTGAGAACTTAAGGTATGCGAGTACATTGAGGTTGTGCACATATAATGGTCTAATGAGTGGCATATAAAATTTGTCCCAAATGACCTAATGTATGTCCCAAAAGACCTCGTATATATCCCGAAGGACCTCATATAACCCTCAAATTTTGGCATGCCAACTATACCTATTGCTCTCATATCACATAACATGGGCTTGAATATTTATATGTTCCATATAATCATTAATTCATCACATATTCATGTACTTATATAATTTATCTTATAATCACATATATCTTATCACATACCATATGTCACATGTACATATAATCATCTATTTCATATCATATAGTTTATGTTATTTGATTATGTTCACATGGATCATATAACATGTATCAAAACATATAAACATATAATACTTATGCATGTGTTTATAATGATTATAGTATATACATGTTCATAACTATTAAGCTATGAAATTTAAACATAGGAAATAGACTTATCACAAGTCTTAT